CACCTCTTTTAACTAATGCAACTCGACCATTAGGAGAAGGATTTGCAGCAAGCCAATCATTATCAGAACAACCTTCATTTGGAATAACACTTATTGGAACATAATCAGCAAAATTAGCTGATCTTGTATATTGAACAAAATAAAATTCTGCTATTGAAAGATTCGATGATAATAAACGATTTATAGTTGTACCATTAATAGATGTTATTAATATTGGATTGGAAGCAAGAATAAAATTTCTTAAATAAAAATAATTTGTTGCTACTTTAAAATTTGTATGAGATGATAAATAATTATTAATATAATCAAGTGTTTGATTAAAACCAATTGTATTAATCGCTCTATTACCACCTGTATTAGTTGCTATATTTTGTAATTCATTAAGATGCATCATTATATCAGAAATTTGAATCGATTCAGCATATTCAGAATCGAGAGATGGTCTATCTATTGGTTTGTCTTTTAATCGATTAACAACAACACCCAATGTAGCTGCAGCAAGAGCAAGAGTGACAAGTACAAGAATAATTCCAATACTAATACAAACTGATAGAAATTTAACACGTTTATTCAGTGATAATATCATATTGTCGTTATTTGTATAAAGCCTGTCATTTGAAACTTGATTGTTATTCATGATGATGTCAATTAATTTTAGTGGATGGACTCAAATGAAAAAGTGAAGCATAAATACGAGCAAATTATCGATGATATTTATAGAAGACAAAAAAAAACCTTTGGATTTTGATCATATTTTCTTCTAGGATATATGTAATATAATCATCCTACTTCAATTTTGAGTGTTTGTCAACAAGAATAATTTGTATAATTTAATCTATGTTCTACCGTAAAATAATTGAAATTCATTAATAGGAAAAAAAATGACTCCTGATATTTATAATGGTTGTTTACGACCATATAACAATTCATATTGATGTTATCAGTAAGAATATAGTCTTATTATTTTGTTTTCAGATCAGATACAGATGCACTTGATTTTTTTAATAGATAAATATAATCGTCAATAAAATGTAAAAGAAGAAGGTAACTGAACTGGTTATATACATCATAAATAGGATTAAAAAAACTTATACTGTGCTTCTATGCAGGTGAGCAGAGCGAGTGTCCATTGAAATATTCTAATTTGTCTTCAGTTTTTAAAATGCAAAGCTAAGAATTCTATATTTTGAAATCGTTTTTTTTACGCAGCACACAAGAAAATCTTAATACTAAGAATAAAGTAGGCATCAGGACTCCGCGTGAGATGGGATGGGGCGAAAAAAAAACTGTCTCATGTGGAATGGGATATCCTGAAATTTTTCTGTTCCACGTGTAATGGGATTATTCCCAAATATTTTGTCCTACCGTAGGATGAGGCGCAAAATTTTCCTTCCTTAAACTTTATTTTAAAGCGTTGCAAAGATTAGTTCGCAATTCCTAACCTATGAGTTCCACAAAAATTCTGAATATATATTTAGAAAGAGCACAAAATTCTGATTCTAATTGAAGGTTTTAAAATTTTTGCGAGATTGTTGATCAATCAAAATATGAAGGCACATTTTGTCTCTAAACTTTCGATCCTCTCACTATTACTAAATTTTACATCATTTCATTTTATATTTCATAATTTTATCATAACTAATTTCACATTTCGACAAGACAGACATCTATTTCGAAACAATTGTGTTGTCTTTATTAAAAAAAAAAAGATTGTTGTAAAAGACGTTTGTCCTATTGGATCTTTATTGCATCTCATGAGATACAATGTTTTTGAAAGACTTGTATAGGACAGAATGGGATATTTCTCAAAAATTTTTTGTTTCATGAGATAGGATAATTCTGAAAATGTTCCGTCCCATCCCATCTCATGCGAAGCCCTGGTAAGCATAGCAAAAGCAAAATCTGTCTTACAATTGTTCTATTGATGCCTTTATATAACATTTCTCTCGCATAATTTTGAAAACCACAGTAATATTCGTTTACACAAGATGGCATTCCATGATGTTCAAAGTGCCAGTTAACTATGGTTCTTCTAGTTCAACTGTTTTTGTATTTTGATGCATGCATAATTTTAAACTCTTAGAAGAATACGTTAGATTTTAGTCGAAATCACGTCCCTTTATTAAATGTGAGTGCATTCAACTCGCCTGTACCAACTATATCGGCTGTTTTTTTTGCTTAGTTTTCGAGTTTCATTAATCATTAAAAATGGCGCCACCAAAATAGTTATTATCTAGAAGATTTTGAGAAATAGGAAAAAGTGTAGTGTCATCGGGTACAATTTACTGTGGCATATTAAAATCGACTATTTTTAGTTGAAATCGATCTCTTCAAGACGAAAAGTATTAATTTAATAAACAAATTACAAAAAAAATTGATGAAAAAAGGAGTAAAACATTCGAACTGTCAGTTGTTTTTTTTTATGAATCCCGACGAATCGTCGGTTTTAATCAAAATTTGACGATGTGGAAATAAAAATTCACGAGTAAGGTAATCCAAAATATTCATTTATAGAATTATACTTTCGTTGTGATTGTTGATTTTTTACACCCAATGATCTACCTTCTGGATAAAGCCATTTTTGCAAATCATCTTGTCGAGCTAAATATTCTAAAACATAAGCAGCTGCTTGTACCATCTTTTCAAATGCAAATACATTTATATTTTGAATTGAATCACAAGCTCGATGATAACATGGATCATGAATAGCACCGGCAATACCACCCAATCCTTGACCAAGCATTTTATCATAATAATTACGTTCGTCAAGCGATTTCATATCATCTGCACCAGAGAATAATCCACCAGCAACAATTCCTTTAGCTAAAAATGGGCCATAATCACTTCGACCACTAAAGTCAGTGTTATTCCATGGTAAATTTTGTCGGATGAACCATTCACGATAGAGATTTGTTATTTTATGACTTCCTGGAAGAGCATGAGCTGGTGTATTATTGTTTGCTGTTCGTGCATCATAAATACCAAACATGTAATTCGGTGAACCAAGCATATCATAATTAAGATT